AAATTGCAAGCTTGTGTCTTGCATAAATACAATAGAGATAAAAGTGATGCCCTTTTATCGCGTGCAGTCGCTGTGGGTGCTGCTGTGCCGGGGCTGGGAGCGGTGTGGGAGCTGGCAGCGGGGACATTTCTGGTAAACACTGACCATGGGAACACATTTGTTTCAGGCAAGGACTATGTCATGACGGAGATCGAGAACGGTGGCATGCTGGGCAGCAAGAAGGGAGTCAACCTGCCCGGTGCCGCAGTCGACCTGCCTGCGGTCTCTGAAAAGGACATTCAGGACCTAAAATTCGGTGTGGAGCAGAACGTGGATATGGTGTTTGCTTCCTTCATCCGCAAAGCTGCTGATGTCCACGCTGTCAGGAAGGTGCTAGGGGAAAAGGGAAAGAACATCAAGATCATCAGCAAGATCGAGAACCATGAGGGTGTGCGCAGGTGAGCTTTGTGAAGGTGTTTGTCACCTTGTATCAAGGGGAAAACACAGCCCCTTTGTGTTGTAGCCAGGACTCCTGGTCTCTGGCTTGCCAGCAGTGGCAGAGTTACTGGTCCAGTAACAGGGTAGTAGTGCAAGCTGTCAGTGCTGTGTGTGTGCAGTACGAGCAGAGGGTTGTGTAACTGCCACACGCTCTGTGGCACACAACTCTCCTTGAATACCTGAACAAAAATCTGTGATGGTCTTTGTAGCCAGTGTGAGTTCAAACTTGTCCAACTGGTCATGGTGGATGCAGTTTGGTGAGCTAACACACGGGAATCGCCATGTCTGTGACAAACCATCAGACTGAAATATCACAGATCAACTCAGGCTCCTCTCCAACTGTCTCTGTATTGCTTTAGAAAACTTCAGGCAGCACTTTACGTGCTATGACCCAGTCTTGTGTTTCTTCCTCCTGCCTTGGCATTGGAGGGGATCGCTCCAGAGCGATGCTCCCTTTCAGAGCAGGAGGACAGAACAGACAGGAAGGTGCTTTGTGGAACAAATGGGGTAACAAACTTCTTCTCTTGCTGTCAGGTTTGATGAGATCATGGAGGCCAGCGATGGCATTATGGTGGCCCGTGGTGACCTGGGAATTGAGATCCCTGCTGAAAAAGTCTTCCTTGCCCAGAAGATGATGATTGGACGTTGCAATAGGGCTGGCAAACCCATCATCTGTGCCACTCAGGTACTCCAAACTCAACGCTGGCTCGTAACTGCCAGAGCCTGGCAGGGTGTGGGCTGTCACAGCTTGATGGCCTTCACTAGAGTGTGAGATACCAAGAGCAAAGAGGTTTTGCTCATAGCTGAATAGCTCATCATGGGGCACTTTAAAGATGTGTTATAGGACTTCTTGTGTGGCTGCTGAAGGCTTTACCCCGCAAAACTTCATGAGTGTGAGCCTTTTGGGCTGACAAAACAAATTCTGGGGGAAAAACATGGCTTATGCTTTGCCTTGGCATCTTGTAGCAGCACATTTGTGTCTAACAGGAGGAAAAGATCCATCTCCTCATTTTTCTGGGAGCTGCTGGTGAGGTAGGGAGAGCTGACATTCAGCTTTGCTGGTTCCAGTAGGGATTATGTGCAGACAGTCCTCAGGCACTGGGGGGACTGGTTTCCTGGCTGTGTTTGCTCTGTGCACAGGCTGTGGCAGCAAAAACTTTCTCTAGACAGACACGGTTCTGCATTTACAGTGACATGTGCTGCTTCCTCTTCCTGGATTGTGACTAAACCGCTGCCTCAGGCGGTGTTTGAGGAGGAAATGAATGATGTTTGCCCAGTGGTGAGCTGCAGTGGGGAGGAAGTTGAGCACCTGGGGAAGATAAGAGCTGGCCAGGCTTTGGTGTGTGGAGATCTACCAGCCTCTAGGAGAAATGGGTAGGAAGAGCTAACTTCATGGAAAATTACTCTTGTTTTCCGCTCTATTCAGAGCAGGTGCTTAGGAGTGGTGTCGTTAACTGCTCTGAGTTTACTTGCCTGCACATATTATATAAAGAGTTTGAAATCTTCTCTTGGATGCAGATGAATTTAGTTGGTGCAGACCTTGCTGTTTGCCTGTTTCTAGATAAAAAAACCCAAACCCCTGGATGCTAATTTGGGAACATGTGGCTGGATTTGAGCTTTCCGTAAAGATGTCTAATGCAGTACTCTGCTCCAAAGAGCTCCAAGTTCACTGGGCTGAAAAGTTAAATTGGAACGTGTGTGAGCCGACACAGGCAGGACACAGGAACAACCACAAAACCATGGATGAAAGGCAAAGAACAAATTGAATCCCGATACCTCGTGGATCAGGGGATCTCTGAAGCAGCACTTGGGCTGAGACACACAAGTAGGGGATGCAGGTGCTGCAGAGCGAGAGTCCTTGTTAGTGAGGGAGTGAGAGCTCAGACTTGTTGTTCTCACCTTCAATCCAAGGGTTCAAACAGCCAGAGTTTTCTGCTGTGTTTGGATCTTCTCCAGCAGCAGGGTAGGAATTTTGGGGATGTTCGATAAAGTGCTGCCCCCGAGTCCATCACAGGCCTGTGTTATCTGAGTGCGGATGTTGTACTTGTCAAGCACATAATACTAAACAACAATTAGTGTGATACCTGTGTTTTCCAGCACCCCATGTGCAGGTCACTTGAGTGTGTTTACAATCCTCCCACCCGATTGCCTGTTATTTTCTCACAGAAAGTCAGACTGTTGTGTCTGTGATGTTGTCTGTGTTAAATATCCCTGGGAAAGGAGTCAATGTAGAAGATACAAAATGAAACGGGTTGGTTTTATCACTGGTAGGTGGGTTCAATTTAAAGCTGGTTAGGGACCAAGCCCCTCTCTGTACTGTACCCATGGGAGAAGGCTTCTCCCAGAGTTTAGAATCATAGCATTGCCCAGGCCGGAAGGGACCTCCAAAGGCCATCTAGTCCGACCCCCCCGCAGTCAGCAGGGACCCCCCCACCTAGCCCAGGTTGCCCAGGGCCTCGGCGAGCCTCTCCTTGAATATCTCCAGGGAAGGGGCCTCAACCACCTCCCTGGGCAACCTGTTCCAGTGCTCCACCCCCCTCCCAGTGAAGAACCCTCTCCTCATCTCCAGTCTAAATCTGTTCCCCTCCAGCTTGAAGCCATTGCCCCTCGTTCTGTCCCTGCAGGCCTTTCTAAACAGGCTCTCCCCAGCCTTCCTGTAGCCCCCCTCAGGTACTGGAAGGCTGCTATGAGGTCTCCCCGGAGCCTCTTCTTCTCCAGGCTTAACAACCCCAGCTCCCTCAGCCTGTCCTCGTAGCAGAGGTGCTCCATCCCCCTGATCATCCTTGTGGCCCTCCTCTGGCCCCTCTCCATCAGGTCCATGTCCTTCTTATATTGAGGGCTCCAGACCTGCACACAATACTCCAGGTGAGGTCTCACCAGAGCAGAGTCAAGTGGCAGAATCCCCTCTCTGGACCTGCTGGCAACGCAGCTTTTGATGCAGCGCAGGATGGGATTGGCCTTCTGGGCTGCAGCTGCCCACTGCCTGCTCATGGCCAGCCAATTTAGGGCATTTAGGGCAGAAGACAGGATGCAGCCTCATCTAGAATGTATATATTGAAGTGCAGTAGTGGAAAAAAACCCAGCTGATTCCTTCTGCAATGTCTTGATTTCTTTGGTCTTGTTCTTCCAGATGCTGGAGAGCATGATCAAGAAGCCTCGCCCGACGCGCGCCGAGGGCAGCGACGTGGCTAACGCCGTCCTGGACGGAGCAGACTGCATCATGCTCTCCGGAGAGACTGCCAAGGGGGACTACCCGCTGGAGGCCGTCCGCATGCAGCACGCTGTGAGTCCTGCCCTTCTGGGGCCCTGCATCTTCAGCTGAGCCAGAGGAACATCTCATTGTCTCTGGTGCTAGGTGGCAGCACCCAGCAGCACAAAGCAGTCGCTCCTGTGTTCACACCGTGGGTGTTTCTTTACCTAGTGTGGTCCTGAGGGCCTGAAACCTCACTCTGTGCGCTCCAAACTACCCTTGGGTGGAGCTGAGAACTGCTCTGCAGTGCTCTAAACTCTAAAGTTTCAAGTTTATCATTGATTTCTGTTTATGCCAGGGTAAAGGGGGGGGGTTTGCTGTTACCCTGGTATGAGTTTCTCCAAATGCCCTAGTTATTTTGGCATATTAAATGCCTCAAACTTCTCCATGGTGAAGGAGCTGCTTAAGCAGTTTATCTCTAGCTAATGAAAGGTATGGGCTGGCTCCTGGGAGGGGTGTGGGGGAGGCTTGCCAGTGTGGTGTGCAGCATTCAGCACCTGGTGTGCTTGATGTTGGGGGTGTTTGTTGCACGAGTACTGACAGCACCCAGTTTTACATGCCTGAACTGCCAGAAACCTCTGCTCTGCTTCGAGTTCACCCAGCTCGAGTTTCAGCTGATAAAAAAGCCCGATGTCGAAGAGCTACGAGTGTTGCTTCTCCCCCAGTTAACAGGGCTGTGAATCACAGCAGTGATAACTCTCACCAGTTATAACTCTCACCAGTTTAATTTGCAGTTCAGGGTATATAGATTAATCAGCTCAGCTAGTGTGGGTTTTTTTTTGCAGTGTGTTACGTAAATAACTCTTATCTGGTCAATATGGAGTGGTGTTTTTTTGCATGTGGCAAATGCAAAATCTGACTTGATGATGATTAAGGCAGTGAGTGCTGGTTTACAGGCTGAACGCTAATGGTGCACCTAAAAGGTTCTTCCTCAGGTTTCACCCCCTAAATCATTGAGGGTTGACTTTCTACCAAGAGCTGGAAACTTGCTGCAGCAAATCTTACCCCTGGGTTTACATTCTGGCATTAATTCTTAGATTTGGGCAGTGTGTATTTTGTACCTGCAGCCCGAGCTCAGGATCCCTCTTCCTGCAGACCTGGGAGTAGCGGTGCTCACTCTGCCAGGTCCCCGTGGAAATACTCAAGGTTTTAACCCTCTGTGCAGAAGAGTGAATACAGATTCACTAAATTTAATGTAAATATGGTGCAGGCAGCAAGGTGCCAGCTCTGTGATGGTGGGAGCACATCCCTCTGCAGTCAGGGTCTTTCATCTGGGCTAATTCACCTGGTGTTAGTTGAGAGAAGCCCTGCCCAGCAATAGTGCCCTGAGTAACCACAGTCTGAAAATCTGCAGCATGGCCAGAGCTGATGAATATTTC